AAGACTTCTGGGTGGAGCTTGCAATACCGCCAATTTCTAGGCGGAAATCGGGATCACCCAAGATCGGAGTCTCGAATGCAGCCTGGTAAGCGGACCGTGTCCGGGTACCGAGCGAAGCGTTCAAGCTCAAAGTCTCGGCACCACCAAAGACATTGCGCCAGAGAAGGTTACCGTAGGCTGAGCCCTCGGCATTGCCCAAGTCTGTTCCAGTCTTCATCAGTACGCGAGGCTTCTCTCGCGTCGCCAGATGGACATCAATGTTGCGCATGCCATTTTGGCCTTGCGACTCATCCAGGTAGACCGAAATAGGCTGGTGGAATAGATCTGAGATGATATTAGTAGCCGCCCATCGTTACTATTATCCCGTCATCTCATACCGAAACGTCCAAGTTTATCTGCGGTAGCCGACACTTCCCGCAACGCTTCGGACAGTGTGTAGGGCCGACCCTTGTTTGCGCTCAAAAGCGGGCTCAAGTTGCGCTCAAGGAAGCTTCGTCGGGTATTAGGGGCACTGGTGACTTGAACAGAGGAGATGGTGCAGGGTAAAGTCGAGTTTTCGTCGATCTAATAGATATCGCGATCAGCCGGGGAACTCCGCAAGTAAATATGAATTGCCTGTTGTCATCCGCTGCTAGGGGGTTGAAAAGACCATACCAATTCAGCAAGTCGATTCTGGGCCTTTTGGTAAATAGCTTGCATGCGCTCGTTGACCGCTTGCTGTTGCTCTTCCAACACCTTGGGGTCTGCTCGCTGTTGCAAACGCTCGAAGACCTAGAAACGGAGATAAGTCAGTAGGGGGTCAACTGAACTTTCAGGTAGTCCATAAGCTGCCTGAGATATAAACTAACACTCTCGTCTCCTTCGGCAAAAGAGGAAGACATTTTTGCGGCTGCAATGGCCAGAACTTTCAGCCTCCGGGGAAATCGGGGTGCGCGAAACCCGCAGGATATGGAACCAACACGTGACCCCGCGAACGTGAGCGCCTGATTGCGGTAACCTTTGACTCCGCAACTTCTTTATTTCTTTCAATTTCTTTCCTCGGGTTTGCTTCTCGGTCATAAAACACCGATTTGTCTCATTTTGTTTTGCAAAATTTCTTGTTTCTGCTCATATCACCAAAGATGGCGACAAAGGCGGCTTTCAAACGGGTAAGTGGCCAGACCTCCAAGTCCAATCTGTTATCCGTGGATAGTGTCTAACAATACTTACTATAGCTCACTCGTGAATACCAAAATATCCAAAAAGATCCCACCCCATTTATCGTGACCCATCCATCTGAGACCAATATCCTTGAGTAAGTGATGAAATATCCCTCTCACATTGCCGCATTGCTGCAGAACTCCGAAGCTAACCTACTCTAGGTGGCATTACATCCTCACTGGACCTCCGGGAACTCCTTATGAAAATGGACAGTACTGGGGTACATTGATCTTCCCTCCCGAGTACCCATTCGCTCCTCCCGCCATCCGCATGCACACCCCCAGTGGCCGATTCCAACCTTCTACTCGATTGTGTCTAAGCATCAGTGACTTCCACCCGAAATCCTTCAACCCCGCCTGGGAAGTCTCAACTATTCTCATCGGCCTCCTTTCTTTCATGACCAGTGAAGAGATGACCACGGGAAGTGTCAGTGGTTCGGAAAGTGAGCGCAGAGTACTTGCCGCCCGATCTCGGTGGTGGAACTCGACTGGAGGAGGTTCTCATATCAGCGCCACCGCCGGTGTCACCCGAACTTCCAAGGGTATCAACAATGTCAAGGCCGGAGATGGAGGCTTGAAGTTCCGCACAGAATGGCCTGAACTTGACCAAGAAAATTGGGCTTGGATGAAAGAGCATCGCATCGATTCCACCACCGGCCAGATTTTACCTGACCCCGATGCGCCCACCAAGTGTTCCCCAGAGACTAGTGCTTTACGTCGACGACCTAACGGTAGTGCTCCTGGAATTGGTTCTGTCGTGGATGGTGGACACGTTGCGAGAGAGGCTGGTCAAGGCTGGGCTGGACGAAACCGAATCTGGATTTGTGTTGCCGTCTTCTTTGGCTATGCACTGATCTCACGACTATTGAGTGATATGCGAGCATGAGATTGGACTAGTTTTTTTTTTTTTAATGTTAGAATACCCTTTTTGTGATGTTTTATCCTATGGCCTTTTTTTTTTTTTCCTTTTTTGTTCCTCCAAGGTTAGCGGGTTGACAAGCATTAAACAGGCGCCATACTCAAGACGTTTACAATATAGAATGGAATGAACACTTTTTTTGCCAAATATAATTGTTACACCATTTGAGCACCGGATCTTCCAACTGAATCGGGCTTATGCTCACCCCGCATTGACATCGTAACTACGCTCCTTTTCTCTTCTAAATCCGCCTTCTCTATCCACACTTATTGGTCTTTTGCCTCTCTGGTCCTCGGATGGATCATCTGCAGCCTTTCACCTTTGGTTCTACTCATTCAGGTCAGTGCTTACTTTGATATATTGGGGTTTAAACTCTGAATCCCTGACTCTTTTGGACTTTGCCTCGGCCTCTTTTGACTCTATTGCGGTCAAAGGTCAAGTTCACTGTGCTCTTTCCTATTTGTCTATGAACTTTCCCCCCCAGCATAGAGTTGCAAAAAGAACTCCATCTTGAAGAGCTTGGACTGAAGTACCCGACTAGAACCCAAGGCCAAACCCGCGCCGCTAGATCGGCCTTCCTTTACATTCATCGATCACGACGATGACTTGACCTCCAAGAGGATTAAAGATGTCAATGCACGCAAGGCTATTCGCTCTCATGTTATGCGTGATGTACGCCGGCGCGAGAGACTCGCTGGGTTGAAACGGACATCCAGACAAAATCGTGGGCAATCCGGTTCTTCCAAGCCTACCGTCGATGAATCTGATGAACAAAGGCTGGTTTTGAGGGCTTCATCTCAGTCCTCTGCTTCGTCTTCCATACTGGACACAGACTCAGGAGACAGGTTTACCTCAATTTATCGAGGACGTCCTGTCAGGTGGTGTGCTGGTTATCCTTTGCCTCTCCATTCAAATCCTAATCCACCTACATCATGGTTTCTGGATCCTTTCTTTACGTTGCCCGGTACCAATGAGCTTCCTTCGATGGTTGCACACTTGGTGTACTACTGTACGTATTACTCATTCAGCGTTGTCCATTGTTCTGGTCGTTTTTAGGTGTTCTTGCTGCATGAGCCTCCCCAGAACTAGAGCTGACTACAGGGTGAAGGGAAAACCATATTCGTACCGATGACTTTCCCGAACACGAGCAAAGATTCAAACCAAGAAATGGAACTAATGGTTCGGTCCTCGTTCTCCGATCCCGGTAGTTTCTTTGGGTTGATGAGCATGTGCGCTGCACATCGAGCCGTTCTCGCAAGCCAGCGATCGGGTAATTGGGACTCGGTGCTTACCGACGACCCTGACTATTGTATGATGAGAGCAAAGTCCATTCAAGAGATGAGCGCCAAAGTACGGGATCCGAGTCGCAGACTAAGCAACGAGGCGTTTGATACCATAATCAACCTCCTCACTGGTTCGGTATGAATTCTGTTCGTGAATATTGGGTTGCAGTGCTGCGGTGTTGACATTCCACAGCTGATAATCGGAGAGTTCAGCGAGGTCCATACTCACCTCACAGGACTTAAAAGTATGGTTGATCTGCGGGGTGGAATAACAGATGAAAGTATTCGTTCTTCCTCTATGTTGTCTGCCATCATCACGTACGTGTGTGTCCGGTTCGCCTCTCTACTGAGTTCCGCTCACGGTTGATGAAATAGAACCGACATCAAGGCCGCCTCGGGCCTAATGACCAAACCCGTTTTCCCATTAACTTGGGATGCACAGCCAATCCCTTCGGAGATTCAACAGCGAATCAGACCACTGGCTTCGTCTCCTCTCAACAGACTAGGCACTGGGTTTTTTGCCAATACATTCCTTAGTCCACCCTTATTGAGAATTATAAGTGTGCTTCGGGACATGGTATTCTTTAGCGTCACTTATCAGACAAATCCTAATGTCATTAAACCAGGCGACCAAGACTTTTTCCGCATCCTGAATTGCGAAGCAGAGCATCAACTTCTCAGCTATATCTATGCAGAAGGTTCCCCCAACCCGGAGCCCAATCTTCATCCGATTGAAGCAGTCACTCGAGTGGCTTCTATTTGCTATCTCAATCATTTCCTGATTGTCTCGCCTTCATCATCTGGATTGGGTCGAGCCCTTACGAAACACCTCAAGACAGCATTGGATAGCTGCAAATTGTCTCTTCTTGTGGGATTACCAAATCAAACCTTTGGACTTTATGTTTGGGCATTATTCGTCGGAGCCCAAGGTGCCCTTGGTCAACCTGAGCGGCAGTGGTTTGTGGAGCGGCTGGCCCGTGTTGCAATGATATGTGGGTGGCAGTCGTGGGAGCAAATTTCGAAACTCATGGCTGAGTTTTTCTTTGTTGCGGCTTTGGACAGCTTGAATTGGCGTTCAGTCTGGGACGAAGCGATGACTGGGTTTGTGATATCCGAGTCGGAGGAACTGGAATTCTCTTCTCTTCTTGGAACGGGGACACTCTCCCTTGCTTAGTTCTCAATTGTGGGCACTTGTATATCCTCTACGGCAAAACCAGCAGTAATAGCAATAATAAGCCAAAAAAAAAAAAGGGTCAAAAGAAAGTACACGAAGTATATAAATGAGAGAGCACGGCCGCTGTTCTTAAGCATAAAACTTGATAACCTAATTTATCTAGCTCAAAATGAGATTTAAGATGTTATATGTAAGATAGCACTCCAATGTTCTTTTTATATGTCTTTCAATATACGAAGGATATAAAAAAAGGCCAGAAGTATAAAGCCAGGGCTATCCAGGTGGATTTGTTTACATCTCACCGCTTTAAGCTTGACCTATCATGTGGCAGCTTTATGTCATCCAAAAAAAAGTCCGCTCCGGTCTTTTGTCGCGTTCGATTTCGCCTTGGATTTTATCAAAATTTCTTTGCTTCATACTTCAAAATGGGTTGGTTTTGGGCAGACTCTCCACAGACTTCCGTCTCGATCCCACATGCGTCTTCAAATGCATCACCTCCGGTTTGTTTTGCGCATCTTGCACAGCTTGGATCATTTAGACTGACTCTTATCTAAAGCCGGGATGTCCGATGCATGAATCAGGCTCAAAACCCTCGCCCTTGCCAGCACCTGCTGCTGAACTCCCCAGCAGTTGCCCCATGAAATCGAAAGATTCTCCATTCTACTCAGCCCCAAAATCAACACCGGTGCAAACACCGCAGCCACCTGCCAACGCCGCGCAGCCTTCGACCCTGTCAAAGCTTAATCCTTTGAACTATATGTTCTCGTCTATTTCCCAAGAGCGCGCCGCCAATCAAACCGTTGATCTTCCCGTTGAACGCGAAGGTTCTTCAATCCCAAGAGGGGACGGCGAAGGCAACTGGGAGTATCCGTCTCCACAACAGATGTACAACGCCATGTTGCGCAAAGGACACACAGACACACCCCAGGATGCGGTGGAGTCGATGGTTGCAGTGCACAACTTCCTGAATGAAGGTGCCTGGGATGAAATCGTGGGATGGGAGCGCGTATTTGCCAAGGGTCTCAAGTCTGGATGGCAACACTGCCGGCGCGGCGAGGAGAATCTGAGCATGGACTTAACTTATGCAGACGAGAATGGTAAATTCGATTTGACCTCCGAACCTCGCCTACTCCGATTCCAGGGTCGGCCGCAAGAGTGGTCACCTAAGGCACAGATATACCAGGCACTGAGCTGGGCCTACCCAAGCAAGTTTGAGTAAGGACTGCCTTCGCGGTATATATACTAAGAAAAATGCTGACTCTAGGCCCAATAGGACCAGCCCTCCGTTCGACCGCCACGATTGGTATATCATCCGCCAGACACCTTCGGGTCCGAAGGAAATTCGATATGTCATCGATTACTACTCTGGGGATCCAGATCCCCACGGGCTGCCAGTCTTCCACCTTGATATCCGCCCTGCGTTGGATACACCGACGGCTGCTGTTGAGCGCTTAATGAGATGGGGAGGTGATGTCTGGTGGAGGGCTAGCGGTGCAACTGTTCGTGAACAGGCTTCGCGCTAAGAGTGCTTGACAGCTGCAACAACCAGACCGTCTACTTCTCCACTCCACTCTGTAATTATTCGAAGGCATGGCGCTGGCGTTCCATTGCTTATCTTCTCCTGTGCTTGTACGATGTTTATCTTCTTCCCTCTTGTCCTATATCACAGCCTCGGTCTCCGTTATCCTATGAAAATGGACATATGATAATGATCTCTTTGCATTAATTTTACTTTCCCCCCAAACATCAGAGGTTTCACGTTTGCTTGCAGATTTCTTTAAAATGAAGTGTATCTTTCTAAAATATCATTCAACAGACATGCCATCTAAGCTCATATCAACCGTGAAGAATTGGGCGTGTATGGTACAAAAGAAGAATGGCAAATGGTCTTATATATTAGGGGACAGTTGGTCGTACTTGACGCAATGCTCAACACTCTCGATGCTGGCCTGCAGCATTCCACGAGCTTCCAGGCCGAGCCAAACCCAGAGCATTGAGTAGTCGCCCGAGCGCACAGTTTGCAAGAATGAACTTCCTGATCCCAATTGTCGTAGTATAGGAAGAGCACTAGACAAGTCAGCTTTAGTTAAACAAGTCAAAAGCCCCACGGAGGAGAAAACTCACCTTTTGAACAGATCTAGGTTGGGGTTCAAACTACGTCCTATTCCTTCAAGCAGGAGACATGAAATAACGACGTTGACAAAATCTCCTTCAAACCGAACGTGATGCCCGCGGACCATAGTCAATACCTCACTGAGGATATCGCCAATCTTGACACTCCCCAGAGCAAAGGTTCGAGATTTGATACCTAGGACCAAATGCTGCATTTTTAGCGCAAATATCTCCGGATCAATGACCTCTTCCGGTGTTCGACATCGCTCGACCATAAGCTGACCGGCCCTGTATCCGTCAAATTCAGCAATAGCTCGAAAGAGGTCGAGGAAGTTCCGCCGGTTGGTCTCATTTAGTTGGGTGACAAGACCGGTGTCGATAAATATCAACTGCGGTCGATACCCTTCGTCATTGAGCTGGGAAAGAGCAGCCTTCCAATCCTCAGGGTCATTGAGAGTCGGGCGTAACCGCTTAAGGACTGCTTCTGTCACATCAAGTTCGGCCCGCGTCGGGGCATCGAATGCACGCGAATGCTTTCCAAGGGAGAGGTCTAGCTCGCTGGGCCGGTAGAAACGAACCATGATGTTCCCTGGATGGAGATCGGCATGGACAAAGTTATCTATGAGTAGCATATGCAAAAATGCATCAAGGCCTTCATTGGCAATATCGTGCTGATATAAACCCCCTCCAATATCCAAGAAGGTGGCTAACGGGATGCCTTGGGCAAACTCCTCAACCAACACCTCACGAGTGGTGTATTCTAAGTATGGGTATGGGAACCAAGCAGTAGTGCGAGAATTGAATTTCTGGCGGAATATGACGAGGTTGGCGGCTTCAATCCGAAGGTCCAGTTGTAGCTTCATCATTTCACCAAACTGTTGTACTTCATCGGGGAAAGACAGCCAGTGCATCGTGGGGATGACATTGATCAAGTGAGCGAAAAATGACATGATACGTAAGTCTCTATGTATCATTTGTTCAACCCGGGGGTGCTGCACCTTAATCGCGACATATGATGATGGCACCCGCTGCGGGGAACTCTTGACTAGCACGTCGACATTTTTCCGGACCTTCTCCCCCAGCGTTGGTGGTTCGATGCCCAATTCTTCTTCATTGGTTACAGCAAGGCTCGGTTTCAACTTCGCCTTGTAGACCTGTGCAATCGCTCCAACTCCCAGCGGTTCCTCCTGGAACTCTTCGAATATGTCCTCGAATGGTAGTCCATTGAATGCTTTGCGGATGATGCGCTTCGTTTGGTGAAGTGAGTGAGCGGGGGCATTAGAGTGAAGTGACGACATTATGCTGCACATTTCCGGTGGGAAGATATCTGTTCGTGAAGCAGCCCATTGGCCGAGCTATTTAAGAAGTCAGCTTGTCTGTTCAATGGACAGTTCTTCGCCAACCAAGATATCAGCTTACCTTGATGAACGCAGGACCAGCCCGCTCCATTGCCTTCACCAAGAACCGATACCACCACAATGTGCCAGACCGCGCGCCATCCCGGTCCTGCACTTTGTGACCAAGCCAGATGGCGGGCACCGTGGCGACAACCGGAATGAATATGACGGCAAGGTGAACGAAGCGTATCCCTGTGGCAATAGGGTCATAGACATAACAGTAAAAATAGACCCATATTGTCTGGCAGAGCTTCGAGAGGCCTTGCGCGTTGGGTGAAACCGTCTTTCGGACCTCTTCGCGCGAAGCCTCCAGCATCTGCATTTCCGCGGTCTTGTCGTGGCCATCATTCTCTTCCGCCAGTTTCAAAAAGGCCGCTGGTGCCAGAGTAGCCATGAGTACTCCAGCTATGATGGGAGCCCTTGGCGGGGTGCCTTTTAGTAGTTGCCGAGGCCATGGCGGGCGACTGAAATGTTGTTGGGGGAGACGCGGAAGTCCGCGTTTGAGACAAAAACGGCCAAAGAGACCGGCCACCCTCATGTTATCATGCAGACGTATAATATTAACATAGAATGATAAAGTTGGTAGAAAAGTAGAAATAAAGACTAGTCTCGGTTCTTGGTCAAGATGGACGATAAGCTTGGAAACACGTGCTGCGACGTCATGTCGAGACACATGCAAACGAGACAACCCCCATACTAATATCAACGCATATGTATATAACTTGTACAATATGCACAAAGTTATTTATGAAGGCAAATCTATGCATTATACGTACATCAATGGCTTTAGGCCCTAATTAATTCGAAGTCGTCAACGCCTACATTCCACAGCCACATTCCTCGTCCTTTGTCCGCTTGCCGTCAACCATAACTAAATCCGGCAATGTACACGGCAGTCCCTAGCTCTTTGTCAAGGGCGAAGAGTTGAGGGGGTCGATCTTGTTTTATAGCGGTTTGTGTTAGTGGCTGGCTGCTACGATTCAAGTCCCGAAAACGGACCATCAAGCTTTATTCAAACAACCGGAAAGATGGTCTCACTCGACATTAAACCGGGACATGATGCCCATAATTTCACAATGGATTTTCCATCACCTTCGGTTCCCCAAACAATTGCCAGATGGTACGAGAGCTGTTAATTATGGGTCGTACCCAGAACCTTCGCGATGTCGAGTCCAACAATGAGAACAAATCCTCAAACTGGCGTGATTGGACCCTTCTCCTTCTATGGGGCGTTATTGGCTATGCGTGCATTATTTTGACGGTGTTGGCCTACCTCAACCCGGGGCTTATACTCTTTGATGTCTCTTCATTACTGTTTCGCAAGGAGATTTCTCCATTCTTTGCATTCTCGCACGGAACGGGTCATTACTCTAAGCCGCAGGGCTTCAAGATAGTCGCTTTAGTTCCGTTCCATTACCATGAGCGTACAGCAATCTTGGACTGCTATTTGCAGGTATGCACAATGTTGCCATTACCATATGGATTAACTCTAACTCTATTCCAGAAAAATTTAGTCCATAATAATGGATTTCTGGATCAGGTCGTCTTTGTGCCGCAGACCGATGACGCCGTCAGCATGGAATGGCTGTACTCTATTGTGAACCAAACACCCGAGTATTCTATCTCTTCTCGCGGCAATGAAATGGAGTGGAAAGTTGCAAATGATAATGTGATGTACATCCGAATCGATGGGGATATCATATTTCTGGAGGATAACGCTATTCCAACCATCGTCAAGACGAAACTCGACAATCCAAGCACGCTGATGGTATCGGCCAATGTGATAAATGAGGCAGCTCTCGCATCTCTTCACAGTCATCCGGGAACTGCACTCCCATACCTGCCTGAATTATACCACGTGAAACAACCATCCCGATCAAAGTCGCAACTGAAACATGACTGGCGCGCTTCCAGTCTTCCACGCTGGCAGGGCCCGCTGAGCTTCAAAGTACGCAAAGACTTTGAGCCGCCCTTTGAAGGGCATCGCTGGCTACTTCCTAGAGATGCAGGCTCCGGTCAAGATCCTATCGCGAGATCCGTATATACCGAAACTGGTCCGACCCTGCATGATTGGACTGTTGGTGCACAGCAGCATTACTCCTTCTTGCACCACCTAGAAGACAATGATTTAGGCCGTTACAAGTTTCCGATATGGGTCGACCCGACCGAGCCCATCAGCGATAACTTTGGGTGCTTCTGGGGTAATGATGCAGTGGATTTGCACCGTATTTTCCGCAACGGCAACCAAAACAGATCCTCCCACAATTGGAATATGTCAGATGGCTCTCGTCCACATGTCATTATAGATGGCAAGGGCATTGTTTCACATTATTCTGCTCGCCAAGGTGCGGCTGGCCTGGACGCTACGGACCTCATAGCTCGTTACCGGGCATATGCACAGGAGAAAGTGTGTTTGCAGACTGAGTGATCTCCAAGCCCCTGGGCATCGGATTGTGTCCGTTAATAGAAATTACATGTACATACATATACGTATATACCCAATGGTTTTGTTCAACTTTTGCACGTCTACAACTGGGTGCTTATAACGGATTAGATTCTTTGTGCTCGGGTGCTCGAGCTATCTCTATATCTACAGCAATATTTCACTTGAAGTATTTTGTTTCCAGGGATACATACAGCGAGAAATGTCCTTGCTTTTTCCGTCCCTGTGAAGAGGTATTTTATGGGCTTCTTTTCGGTCCGTTTTTAGACTATGTTAGTTTCACAGTCTAAACCAGAGCACATATTTGATCGAGGCATAACCTCATATGCAACCATGATGACACTTGTGTTCCAAATGCAACATATCATGTAGGAGCTCTTCAACTAAGCATCTGTTACAGCCTTCAACTGCGATGCATTGACCTTCACCAAGTCTTCCAGCATATCTCTATAACCGACAGGAAGTGCACCAGACTATTTTCCGGTTAGAAAATGTCTAACATTGTTCTAGGACAGGAAACTTACCTCGTTCGTTAGCAGTTTTTGCACGAGCACAAAAGCATTGTCACGGTCTTTGGTCTCTTGCGACTTGTCTGTCTCCTCGGCATTATCTTGATTGGGAATGCCCTCGCCCAAGGTCGTCTTAAGCAACTCGGTAACCTCTGTCTTGTGCAAGCAGTCCACAACGGCAGCACAGCCGAGTCTGTTTGTCGCCATTAGAGCCAGAGCAAACCAGCCTTCACTGCGAACGACAGGCCATTGAGTCTGCGTGATCATCGCACCTACTGGTAGCGAAACACCCTTGTGCAGGGTGTACAGCCGGTCAAGCAAGGACGTTGCTTCTTCATCTCCATCGCGAGCCTTAGGGCTAACAGTCCGACAGATCGAAGCAACTGTCCGTCCGATTTCAGTCTTGATTGGTGTGGAGTCTGTTTTCTCGAAAAGAGACAGGAGCAGAGAGAGATAGGTCCGTTGGTGAGCCGGAGAATCAGTATCTTGTGAGAGAGGAGCTAGGAGATAGGAGATGTTATCCATCGAGGAGATAATCACTTGTCGCGCGATACTTGCAGCCGAGAATTGAACCTGCGGAACAGATTCATACGCCCATAATCGTGAAATGGCAGGGATGATACCAGCCTCTCCAAGAATGGCTCTGTTGTCGCCGGCAATTGCAAGATTCTTCAGGAAACCAAGCGAAGAGTGTAGGACCGCACCACGGGCATCGCCCTTGAGAACGGATATCAATTCTTCGTGGATTTTGAGGTCCCTGACCATCATCTGGCAGACTTCGTCGGACCGGGCGAGATTTCCAAGCATGACACAGGCGCAGATCTGAAGTTGATCTTCGGTTGCAACCACCCATGACTTCAAGGTCTGTGAAAGAGGAGAATCAAGGGGGTAGTATTGGGCGAACAATGGTGATGCTGATACCTCAGCCAAAGCCTGGTTAATTTTGAGGCGGAGCTGCGCGAGAGCCTTAACGTCTTCGCTCAAAGAAGAATCTATCACAATCGAAAATGAGTGGCGCAGGACATCCACCACGCCTTCTACCATTCCGTTTGACACACAGATATTCTGGAACTTTTCTTTTTCTAGGTAAGCAGCAAGAGAAGTTGCCAATGACGAGAAATGCGCAAAATCAAGAGTCTCATCAATGGCAAGGTCCATCAGCAGTAGAATTGTTCCGTCGGGAGAGTTCTCAATGCCTTCGGCTGTAAATTGTACGTTAGATCAGAAAACAAGACCGAGGTTGAGATGAAGCATACCTTGTTCTGAGGCTAACTCGATCAAGTCATATGAGAAATGAAGTAGGGCCTCATTGTCTTCGATCTCACCATCTTTGATCAGCTTTAATAAGATGTAAGCTGTCCGATTAGCAGCCATTTGCGCATGTGCTGGTTCTGATATTATATTAGCAAGACATGTATCACCATCCGGTTCTGTTTGAACATACTGTAATCCATGCAAATGTTGTAGATGACCGGAATGGCAACAAAAATCAAATCTGGATCAAGGAAGTATCGAATGATAGCAAGAGTATAGTTTCCCTTGACAACAATCTCCCTATTCTCATCTGCATCAAAATTAGTTATCTGGGAATTGATATAACCAATTGCTGCATACCTGTATCGGCACAGGAGTTTCCAATAACTCGCAAAGAGTGAAGCAACAAGCTGGTATCAATTTCGCCTTTGAAAGAAACCACATCCAGGAAGAAATTCAGAACACCAGATTGACCAAATGGAGCACGCCATGAGGCTAAATCATAATTAGCAAGTCATAAAATTGTGGCTAGGGTTGACCCACGATCTCTGCTACCATCCGCAATAACCTCGGTAGCTTGAACCAAGTACTCGGAGTTACAAGCCCAGAGCTTTTGTAGAGTAGCCCTCACGCTTTGCAGGATCTCGGCGTCCCGTCGCCCGCATTTTTCGTTTGCATCGGCCTCTTCAAGGGATGCATGAAGCTCCTTGAGGTCGAAGCTATTTCCAGCTTCGTCAGCCTCCTGGGCCTTTTCAATGACCTTTCGTAATTCACGGAACATCTCCTGTTGCTCTTCCGACTCAATGGTTTCCGTGCGGGGCGGTAATGAGGAAGAAACCCCCGGTAGATCCGAGAGAATACGTTTGGCAGAAGGCAATTCCAAATCAGCTTTTTTCGATACTGAGCGGCCGACATCTCCATGAGCGGCCAGCTGGGCGGTAGATATACCCGGGGAAGCCATCGTGCCGAATCGAGGTCAGATAGTTGCCTCCGGAGTGTGGGGTGATTTTAAAGGGTCCGTGTGGACTTGAAGGTATGAAGATATGGATTCCTTCCCTGAACAGGAAAAGCCCTCTTAGCTAGATGGAGGAGCCTAGATGGCAGCCTGTTGACCCCGTCGCAACAATTCAAACACTGTGAGCAAACAGCGTTTACTCCGATGTGAGAGAGTATTGGTGGCTTTTAATTAGGCAACAAGAGTCCAGAATGGTTGATTGATCCGAGTGGAAGATGACTTTCTCACCAGAAATATCGCAGGTACAAAGTAAGTTTAGACTCTTCGTGAAGGAGAGAGGGAGTGTGCTGCCTGAGGTCGACTCAGGCACCAATCCCGTTTAGGTTAGGCCTGGTAGTTATTGTACGGAGCATGCTATGTGCGTAACAGCAGAGGGAAAAGGAGGATAAATTGTAAATATATATACATATATGTATATATATATATATCTAGGTGATATTTAATAAAATGTGTTTCCAGGGGTTTTCTTTCTCTCACAGATTTTTGACTCTATTGATAGTTAGGCAAAAATACAGAGATCGGAGGGGGAAAAATTTTATAAGCAAAAAAAGATGGAGCTGCGCGGAATCGAACCACGATATTCAAGGAATGAATCATGATAATTTCCCGGTTAGGGAGAATTACATAAGCTTGATGGACTAACCATTATCCTACAGTTCCTTAACCAGTAGCCTATAGCTTCTAATTTTGGGAAAGAGCTCCGTTAACAATGTTCGTGTTTCGAAATCCTTCAATCTTAGTATGTGGGAAAATTGCATACTGTACATGTTCACAAATAAAGATATTGAGTATTCCAAAACGGCTCAATTCAATGCTCAGCCAGCGTTATCTCATAGTTTAGCTCCTTTATTTTTTGCCCATTGAAATTTTCAAGGTAACAAATCCATAAGGTCATTCCTTGGCGTAGGGTCTAGGGCACGTTCGGGAACGTGATCTCGGGTTCCCGTTGTCTCAATGTTATATATCTTACTATTGCTAGCAATTACGGCTGTTTCTGGCTTCAAAAATAGTCATTGTTGGTTATTGGTCTCACATTTCTCACATTCTGGCTATAAACTATATGCCTATCGTCAAATTTACTTTCACAATATGAATCCGACAGCAGCAAACTACAACATATTCTTTTTAACCCGGGAATATCGGGCTTATCTCGGTAATATAGTTATCAGTTTTAGGTTATACATAGAAAAGTTGTCTTCACAAATTAAGCCTCTTACCGCTCTCTCTCTCTCTCTCTCTCTCGGCCATCAACCTACCTATAAAGCCGAGAACGGGAGTAAATTTCTCAAAAAAGACATCTCAACGGAATATCTGAGAAGACCACTGAGAAGACAGCTGAGTTGACCACCAAAGAGACATTACAACGCCGCATAAACGGCCAACTATTCTTGTAACTATACAAATGGATATACGCGCTGATAGCCGCTTTCCCCTTTCAAGATAATATAAATACATAGATCAATTAGTGCTCACGCAATTATCTATTGAAATAGTGATAGTTCAGCTTTCCGGGCTTGGAGATGTAGGTGGCAGGGATCACCTGAATTTGTAATCGGATGATCGAGCTATGGCCTCCAGCTTCCAATCTCCGGAGGTAAGAGACTAAATATGAGATACGTATGGATTGATAATCGACAATGCCTGTTTGATTCTCATCTAAAAGTATATATAAGGGTACACTGAGTCGGATATCTGTAGGATATTATACTTCAGTTTCACTACATTTGACCGAACTCACTCCGAGTCAAATCAGTCACTGCAGATTCTCAGTGTCTTTTCCCATATCTCATCATTGCGAATCAAAAGGATTGTTGTAATCCGCCATGGCCCCGACTATTGTCTTCATCACCGGTGCCAATCGCGGCTTGGGCCTAGGGCTTGTCAATAGTTTCATTGCTAAACCGAACCATGCAATTTTCTCATTTCGTCCCTTCCATTTTGGGGCAGTCCCTGACACCGAACCACCCCCCCGATAGATCATTATAGCTGCCGTCCGTGACCCAGCGCACTCGACCGCCCAGATACTTGTTGGGCTCCCCGGAGGCCAGGGTAGTCGTGTTATAGTAGCCAAGTATGAAGCGGGGACTGAGCAGTCTGCCTTTGATGCGGTCAAAGAAGCAATCAATCAGGAAATCAGCCACCTCGACATCGTTGTCGCTAATGCTGGCATTGCCAAATTGTATCCACTCGTCAAGGATGTCAAGCGGGCCGATATAGTCGAGCATATTGATGTCAACGTCTTAAGTGCCGTGTCGTTGTACCAAGCTACACGCGATCTGCTGCAGAAGTCAACTGGAAAGCCGATCTATGCCATTATGGGATCTGGAGCCGGTGTTCTCGCGTATGTCTGCTCGAATCCGGGACACAGTAAATGTCAGCTAATTATCTCTAGACGCCAACCTCCTGTCCCAAGTGCGGCGTATGATGCATCCAAATCTATCATCAACTGGTATGGTGTTCGGATCAACGCCGAGGATGAGTGGCTTAATGCGTTTGTTTTGGATCCCGGCTGGGTGCAGACCGACATGGGCAATGAAGCTGCGCGGGGTTGGGGGTTGGAGGAGGCGCCTGACACCCTCGAGAAGTCCATTACTGGGATGGTTGAGGTTCTATGCAAGGGAACTAAGGAACAGTATGGTGGCAAGCTCGTGCTCTACTCAGGTGAGGTTCAGCAATGGTGATCATAGTTTCATAGATCATGGATAGATCGAGACGCATTGAATCTAGACCAAGGTTCATGAAGTTCTCTTGCAATACAAGATATGTTAGAATCTACTACCATATTAGTGACTCTAGCCCCTATGACAATGGTCAAATATGAAAGAGTATGTATGCTGTAGTATGTGCATTTTATAAAGGCGGAGCGCTGGACCTCAGGAGGCGATTATTGCTTATGTAAAATGCTTCGTGCTCAAAGTGGAAGGGTAGATATTAGGTACTGCGTACAACAGTATATTCTTCTCTCTTTTTTTGATCTTTCTATATTTCTTCTCAACATATGAAAGAAATAGATCTAGACAAATAGACATATTTTTTTAAAACAAATCCCATACATATGGGAACGGTCTAGAATCCAAATTCCTTAAATATCGCCATAGACTTGGCAGGTACACAAGACCAGTGACCCAGTCCGGGCGCCAAGAAGCGCATCGCCCAAGCTGGCCTCTGCCGCATACAGCACTGCAACACCCCCGAGTCCCTCATTTTTACTAAGATAAACCGGTGCTATCTTCACAATTGACCACTCTCCTCTCATTTGTGAATCTCCTATCTTATCTACCAATCTCACCATGACGCGTGCTGTCCAGACCCTTTCCGTTCTTCTCCTTGTCTCCTCGGTATGCTACGAAGTGGCTCCATCTCAGCGAGGAGCACAATCCCGCATGGGTCTTACTGACAATTGACCAGCTTTATCTTTCCCTTTTCCTTGGACTCGTTCCCCTGAATGAGACTGTCCAGACTGAAGTCATTCCAGTTGTGCGTTACCCACTCCAACCCCCCGACTTCAACTCTGGTCTTCGAGTGTGTTAATGGGAGGAAAACTAACCTATAATCACCCAGCTCCCATTCTACGCGCTTATTGTCTTCGCTTGCTACCTCCTCGCCCGTCTAGGTGTGGCGATCTTCACTTTCAACGATGTCCCCGAGGCACACGCCGAGCTACAAAAGGAGATCGAGCTTGCCAAGGCGGAGTTGCGCCAGGGCAAGGTCGAGGTTGATTAAATGTGAGATCGCTATGCCCATGAATTAGGCTGATAACCAGATACTCGGATCCATAACCCAGGCAGACAGGGTCTGGGTCTGAGTCTGAGAAGTTCAAGCTGTGGATTGGTGCTTGGACGCGGAGGCGTTTGTCTTTGCAGGGTCGAAAAGGCTGCGCCGGATCAATATAATACACTATGCTCCAGTGACTTTTTGTTTACCGCTACCAATGCTATATTCACTTGAGACCCGTCTACAATTCGATGTCTACAAAACAACGTTGGAGGATACCAGGCCTAGGTTTCCGATTGATGGTTACAACGAGGTCCCCGTTAATTACAGGAGCAGTTTCTTTCAGGAGAAAGAAATGACGGAGTGCAAGAGCAGTTTCAAGTCAAAAGGTCTTCGGCGGACAGCCTGCCGGTCTGCCAATCTGCCAAAAAGAAAGAACTTTTTATATGAAAATCATCAAGGATATCGTAAAAATTACATGCTCGGTTTTATACACCTGATCTGAGCATGGATAGTAAAATCGAGGACCAAAGAGTCATCAATATAAACCGTCAGAGCACCGCGCAAATTGGAATGCTTATGATAATGCAATCATTCGCTTAAACAATCTTTTCTTGGACGGCCTAGGTAGAGGATTCTTCGACCGTAGTCTCCTGCGTAGCGACGATAGGATGCAACTTGGCTTCACGATCGTGCTGTTCAATGTTTCTGTAGGGAGAAGAAAAAAAGGTCAGCCACAATTTGTAAGACAAAAATTTCTCAAGGTATAACATACTCAGCCTCCCAAGGATAACAGATCCAGACATCCCCAGTGGTGACCGCGGCGTGGTAACGGTTAGCCGTCATATCTTCGGGCAGATCACCCTTCTTGGCCTTATTCTTGTTCTATTTTAGTTGTCAGCCAAGCTCACCAGCCTCTAAAGGGACAAAAAAAGCATACGTGCAGAACGAAGACGTGGAACTTAGTCTCCTTGTTCTTCTTTTCGTCCTCGGCAGGGAGCTGCTTCCGAGCCTCCTCAACATCCTTCTCGAGCTCCTCCACAGCGTATTTTAGGGTTGTGCGGGTATCATCAACCTCGTCAACGATAAGAACGTTCTTGCCAATCAGATTGGCCATCGACGAGTTCATGTCGAGCCATTGCAAACGTTTGACCTCGGTACCAGGGGCCTCCTCAACGCTGTCTGTGCCCAAACGCTCGTAGAGGGACAGACCGATGGCCTGAATTGGGATGTTAGGTGCATCGGGAGTCTTCTTGAGGAATGACCTGTTTAGCAAGTAGGGATCAGTATAGTCCAGGTGAAGGGGGCACGTATTGAACACACCGGAGGATGCGGGCCGGGATGTAACCACCACCGCCGATGGCGATTATAAGGTTGATTTGGAACTTCTCGAGGGGCCCTTTCGCCGCCTCCTTGCAGAGATTGTGGACCTGTCGAAGATCTTTGCGTTAGTCTTGGTCTTTTTAAAGTTCAGGATTATAATTGTGGACTGCGATAAGACAATCTGTAAATTTTGCGGGGTTGAAGGAGATCTTGATGTTGAAGCTCATCTGTCTTCAATATCAATGCCTCCAACCATTCTTTTTGACTAGCACGAGATAATATCTAGTCCATAGGGATTCTTACATCGTTGTAAGTAGCATATTGCTTTTGGTCCGACATATTGGCGGTCAGGAGGATTCCAGAATTGGATAAAAATATGAAGATGATAAAATGACCCGATAAGGATAAATCAAGAGGTGAATTGTTCACAAAGTTGTCGAGTGTTCTGTCGAATGTTTTTCCCACAGAGGAAAAGAAAAAAAAAAATGGAGGGGAAAAAAAAGAAAAAAGTCGGACCGAATGGTTATCGGCCCGGTGGGGGATCTTATCTGTATGTACCATTTTATGTTGTACGCTTGACCTTGCATATATCGTATTGATATTCATATCTTGCATATATCGTATTTATTTTCATATTCATATGGACCATGGACATGGACTATTGACTATGGATTTGGATCTCATTCTAATATATCTCAAGTATACCAACTAGGCTCAGGCACTTCATGCAGCAGTGCATATCTTCCCAGTTCTCGATTCTTGTATGCTACCGGATCATGAAGAGTATGCACTCGAATATCCCGCCAGAATCGATCCAATCCGACCTTGGAGGCGGTGGCCCGGGCTCCAGTCACTTCAAATACACCAGAAGTAACCCTGAGTCCGACATCGGTGGCCACTACCTTGATGCTAGCCACCCACTCCGCAACATCTCCACGTTCCTGGGCCGTGAGACCGGATTTCTGCGCTTGATATCGAATATAAAGCCCCGAGAGTTGATCGCCTGCTCGATCGGCAAGGGCTTCAGTGGCACGCAGATGCGCAAAAAAGTTGCCATAGCGTTCGAGAATATAGAACTCATCCGTTGCTGATTCCTTGTTGTCACCGCCGAAAGGCCAAGCACGTGTTGCGGTCGTAGTGTATCTGGAGGCGAAATCCAAAGCCCCGAGAGCAATACCTAGGTAGAAATTGCTAAAGACCAGTTGGATGCTGTGGGAGAGAGCAAGTAAGCATTATTCCACGCAACTACCGGGAGAGCATGGCATATTGAATGGCATAGACTGCACTTACGTTGGCAGTAATAGGGTAGGGAACGTGATCTTCAAAGTATCATCGCGAGGCTTCTTGGTAGCTGCATCCCAGCCCAGTGCATCTGACCAAGAAGCGCGGACATTCTCTATCTTCACGCCTCCAGACTCGGTCAACCGCAACCCAATGTTGTGCCAGTTGTGAGCAAACTGAATACCGGGCTGTTGGGTCTCGACCAAGGCAAAGATATGATCCTGAGTACCATCCAATATACCTTCAAGGACTGTGAGGTCGGATACAACGCCTCCAGTGTTGAAGTACTTGTTTCCGGTGAATACGATATGGTCTCCATCTGGGGTAATCTTCAGATCATTGTCGCGGGGGTTTACGGCGCCACCGACAAAGTAGTTGTTTGAAATGATCAACTGATGGGTTCGGTCGGCTTGTTCAGGAGTACCCACCACATTTGCAATGGTAGACCAGAGAAGGTGATAGCCAAGCAGCATGCCGATAGATCTGTCTTCTTGTTAGGGACGATTCTGGGGAGCCATGAGGGATGCTTGGGTCTTACCCATCGGCCTTTGCAACCTCTCTTATTACCTTATAACCAACGCTCCAGGGTTGCTCGCCACCGCCGTACTTCTTAGGCCCCAGAAGCTTTGTCAAGCTCGAATACTTGAGCAGGGCCACTTCAGCGCGCGGTGATTTGTTCTCCTGGTCTCTTTGGGCTGCGTCCTTGGCTAGCACCTCGGCGACTTCATGAGCTCTAACAATCCATGCTTGTTCGGTGTCCGGGAGATTGGACCATGTATTTTTGTATTCAGCATAGACAACGGGGTCTGTCGCTAGAACACTAGATTGGGACATGTTGGCAGTGTATAGTATGCTTGGTCAGTCCAAATTATATTGAAACCAGTGGACTATTACTTCTCAATAGATAGGGTATGAGACAGTTTATAAACAGTTCTCTCTGGGGAGAGGGGGTATCTTGCATGCTCATCACTCCGTATCACGCAATGTCGTGTCACCGCAACTCCAACGCTCAAAATTGAGTTGGAACTTTACATTCGTCAGACCAGTAGAATATGTCGTTATTTCTAGCTAGGACCGAAATTTACAGTGATCCTTGCCACATACTTCCCCATCGTTCGAATTCGGATATCTTTGTAAATTGGATGGTCTCTTTCTGTAGTTTCAATGGCCGTCGACAAGTGACACAAAGAATGGTATCGAACAAACTGTAGCTCGTCGTGAGCTAACCAATGGGCCCAGAAAGGAAGGGGGAGTGTTGCCGCTCTCTAATCACGGACCGTTCAATACATCCGTAATGCTTAGACAGGAAAAGACGCAAGAGCCGTATATCATGACTCGGATCCTCCCAGAAAGGTGTGACTCG